GGGGGGTTGTAACTTCTCTCTGCAGGTACTTTTTTTTCCCCCAGCCCTAATACATGGGGGGATGGGTAATATGGCTCATTGACCCGCTTTCCTCTTCCAGTGTCCATAGTATGACACATTGGCCTGCTTTTCTCTTCCACTGTCCGTAATATGGCTCATTGGCTCACTCTTCTCTTCCACTGTCCGTATTATGGCTCTTTGGACCACTTTCCTCTTATATTGTCTGTAACATGGGCCTGCTTTCTTCTTCCAGTGCCCATAGTATTGCTCATTGGCCTGCTTTCCTCTTCCAGTGTTTGTAGCATGGCTCATTGTCTGCTTTCCTGTTCCAGTGTCCGTAGTATAGCTCATTGTCCGCTTTCCTCTTCCACCATCCATAGTGTGGCTCATCGGCCTGCTTTCCTCTTCCAGTGTCCATCATCTCGCTCATTGGCTTGCTGACCTGCTTTGCTCTTTCAGTTTGTGTGACTCATTGGCCTGCTTTCCACTTCCAGTGTCCATAGTATAACTCTCTTCCAGCGTCTGTAGTATGGCTCATTGGCTCGTTTTCCTCTTCTATTGTCCGGAGCGTGGCTGGAAGAAACGACCTATGCACATGTAACTCTTTGTAGAACTTTGCTGTAGGAACTTCTGGTTTGGGATTTTTACACCCCCCTTCCCGAGCCCGCAGTCATGAGGCTGGCTTACTTCCTCACCAAGAGAGAAAGGAAAGTTAATACTTTGGCACACACTCGAGAAACCTGCAACTTATTATGGGGATAAGACTTTGGGGAGAAACAAGCAGGCCACATGCCGTTCGAGTAACAATAGTTTTACTTGTGTACAAATCTGGAGGGGGCCGACGTGGGGGTCTCTGAATTAGGATTCAGATTCAGTAACCATATCATTACCAAACTGGAATAATGCAGAACTCCAAACAGGAATTTCTATATGCTGATATTTCTGAACTCAATTCTCTCAGCGGTGGTGCATAGAGTCTGCAGCATCTATGAAAGTAAAGCAACCAAAGGACTTGCTCTGGGCAATACATAGACAAAACTAGAAAGTTAAGTTGATTTAAAAACAAATGCATATATCTGAAACATCAGTTATGATAGGTCTAGCCAAATAAGCTTACAGTCTGACGGAAGACAGGTTCTCTATTTATAATGACCCATTTCAAGTCTCTGGGCTGCATCCTCAAACTTGACTATGATGGCACTCAGCATATTTTGGACGCTTCCTCTGGCCATCATCACGCTGGCCTGGGCTCACAGACATGTTTATCCATAACACTATCTGATTTAAAGCTTTATGTAACTTCCAGTTAAAAACAGCTGAATACATTTCGTGTGCATCAAAACAAAAGATGTGCAAAGTCTTACTATTTTTGATTTCTTTAGAAAGCAGCCACAGCCTGAGTAAAAAAGCCTGTCCCCTGCCAGCATGCTACAGAGAGGGGCCCTTGCTCTCTGTGTAGAAAGAGTGATCTCTCTGCAGAGGTCCAACATGCCCCCTATGCAGTCAGACCTATAACCCTGCAATTGGCAAAGCTTATGCTCCTTTCTGATTGCAGTCCTTAATCTCTTACTCAGAAGGGATATTTTGGGGGAAGTGTGGAATAGTTGCACCTGTGACCCCTAATTAAAATGGCAAGTGGCTACACACAGCATTCAGATTTATTCCGTAATAATATGTAGTGTTTTAATTCTGCTTGACGAGTCTACTTTAAATATTCGATAGTCCTATGACGTACCACATTGGGTGTGAATTGTGGTTCAGCGATTGTTATCTTATTCTGGGAAAGAAGTAGGATCTATAAATGACGCTCTCTCCTCATGAGAAGGCAGCCCTGCACATCAGACTCCTGCGTTATGTTGGGTGTTGGATGACTTTGAGGGTGTAATGTCCCTCAGCAACTCCAGATGGCTGGTTGGGTGGACGCTCCGATTAAAGAGACTTTTATCAGGAGCCAATGGTGACTTCAAACTCAACTTTTGGTGCCTTTTTTGCCAACTCTTGACTTCCATTGAACTGACTCTAGGCGACTGTTGACATCAGCCAATTTAGTCCTGTTGCAGTTATTTCTTAGAAAGCCGATTTTTTTTTTTTTTGTTTTGTTATGCAGTTACTGTAAACATAGATCTAAACCCAATCGCTAAACTCTCATAAAAGCTTTAACATATCAAATCTAATTTTCAAGTTTATTTTCAGTCTTTTAAAATCTGCAGCTGTCATTAAAATTCCTCTTCATGATTCTGCCATGATGGTCCTTGTTCAGGCGCTTCATGCTATAGGGTGACAACGTTTCCCCCGGTCTATCAATTGTACTCCTATCTTGTCACACAAGCTTCTGATGGAGTTTACAAGAAGCAGTTTCAACACACATTATGACAGGATGGTCCACTTGTTGGTTATGTGTTTAGATGAAGCGCCGAGATCTTGAGAAATGCTGAACTAAGTTTTACTTGCTTACGAGAATATTATATCAGAATACAGCATTGTGCAGGAAACCTATAGATAGGAACACTTCCTGTGTATCAAAGATAAGCATACATATAGAAAACTAACATTGCACTACAGTGCCATCTACAGCTCAAAAGACAAATTATCAGTATATGCTGTTGCATTTCCAACAGTTATTGTCATCATCAAGAAACCTGCCTTGAGGAATGCTAAAAAGACTGAAAAGGGCTGCAGGAGATGAGCAGCATTGAGATGAGGAAGGGGTGGTAAATCTATTCTATGGAAAACGGTATGGGAATTGCTTATGGTGTACAATGCTTAAAGGAAAACTATGGGGTCAGTGTTTTTTGCCCATAGTTCTCCTCCTTAGGGTAACAGGAGGACACAAACTAGCGTCCTCCCGTTACCCTAAGCTCAGTATACCGCGAGATACAGCTCGCGGTATACTGAGACGCCGCAGCGGACCTCGACGTCGAGATCCGCCCAGCTGCGTGAGTGACAGCTGGCTCTGCCTATCTAGAGGCAGAGCCAGCTGTACCCGCCCCCTCCCCCGTGCGTTCCGCCAGTCAGCGCTGGCAGATCGGAGCGGGGAGAGGGGAATCCAGCCCCTCCCCCTGTCACGGTAGAGAGCCGTGACAGGATCGAGAGGTGAGCAAACCCGGTATGTGTTCGCTCACCTCCCGATCTACTGAGCCGACCTGTGACAGTCTCATTGTCACAGGTTGGCTAGAACTATGAGGTGAGTGGAAATCACTCCCCTCATAGTTCTCCTTTTTAAGCAAACTAAAAGTTCAGTTTAAAGCTAGGTTGGTTACATGAAGCTCGCTTTTTAAAAATCCATTAACTTTTATCTAAATGTCCAATCGGACAAGAGTTTCTCTTTTTGGTCAGGCAAATGAGTATTTGAGTGGTTTTTTTAATTTTTCTATTGCATTGATAAACCTTCTGAAATGCATAAATATCTTACCTGAATTCCATCTTTCTTATCACATATAAAATCAATATCTACCGACACTGAGAACCTCTAACCCCTTTCAGTCCAACCCCACAATGTCTTACAGCTGGCTTTTATTCTGCAGAGTTGGACACAAAAATCTTGGAGGTGTTTAATGAATGGAAATCTGCCCAACAATATGGGAAGCATGTTCTGCTGTAAATTTTTCCTTAGACGTGTCAATGGCAAGACATGACTTGGAAGTAAAATGTTTCTTTCTCTCTTCTCTCCAGATGTACCGTGGCTTCAAAAAGATGCCTCACGTCCAATATATCTACACAGAGTCCTCTGAGAGCCTCTGCGGTGTTAAACTGGAGGTCAACAAGTATCAGTACCTGATCACAGGTGAGAAATTACATATTTGTGTGTTTTGCCAGTATACAGAATCCACATGGGTTTCCCCTATTTTGCATCTTAGGGTTATTGGGTGTCATTATTATTAAATACTTGGGATTATGGTACAAAATATGTTAGTAGTTTTTAGTTTAGTAAAATACCAATTTAGCTTTCAAGGTGTTGCACACAGGAACAGACGCCCCTAGTCTTGGATTGAGGGTCATTCTGCCATTTTGTTGGTTTTGGTTTTCTAAAGAATGGGATCTTTATCCCTGGTGTCTGTGAAGGTTCTCATTTATCCAGGTCATGGTATATCTGTAAAACGTCAAGGCAACTGGATTTGCTGTATTTTTCGAGAAAACTACAGCAAGTCCAGTTGCTTTGACTTATTTTTTAACAGATTTATCCCTGGTGGTACGTTATGTTGGCAACTGTTTGTGTACACCTGACCTTCATACCTACAACTATATGGCCAATAGTATGTGGATGTTTCTCCAACTTATTGAGTTCAAAATTGATAATTTTCCTGCAAAATCAATTTGGCTAAAATCCATGATGGTTGGTGTTTCAATTCATCTCATAGGTGTTCAGTAGGGTTGAGGTCAGAGTTTTGTGAAGGCCACTCAAGTTTTTCACACCAAACTGGTCAAACCATGTCTTTATAGCGCTGGCTTTGTGCACAGGAACCCCAAAATTGACTTCTGATACCTTCTAATGGAATAAAAAAATCTGTACCTTTCTGGTACCTTTTATTTTAGTCTACAGAGAGGTCCAGGAGCCAACCTTGCTGTCGAAAGGTTGTCTGGTTGTAAAAAGGTTGCCAAGACTAGCTGAACTGTGTTACATACATTTTTTTTTTATTATTTGTAACTTTTGTTTTTTAGAATTTTTTATTTTATCAGGGCTGAACTTTAAAAGTTGCAATAATCTCATAAAGAAAATAACAGTGTTCCAATTCTTCCTATGTGTTCAGCAGGGTTGAGGTCAGAGCTCTGTGCAGGCCACTCAAGTTCCTCCATACCAAACTGGTCAAACCATGTCTTTATGAAGCTGGCTTTGTGCACAGGGGTACAGTCATGCTAGAACAGAAAAGGGTCTTCCCCGAACTGCACCCAATTGTCTAAAAGTCCTTGTATGTTGTAGCATTAACAGCCTCCTTCACTGAAAACACCTGAATTCAGTCATTTGGAGGGGGGTCATATCAGTAGGTACAATGGTCAAATGTCCACAAACCTTTGGCCAGATAGTATAGCAGATATTTGTACTTTTGTTGTTAGTAAGTTTTCAGAATGTTCTAAAATCTTTACTGATTTGTGTCAGTGGGCTGCATTGAGTTGATGGGTTGTAATATGGTTCCTCTGTTTCTGCCTAGGCCGTGTCTATGAGGGGAAGGTATACACTGGACTGTGCAATCTGATTGAGAAATGGGACAAACTGACACTCGCCCAGCGTAAAGGGCTCAATCACCGTTATCACCTGGGATGTAATTGCAAGGTAACAGGAATGTTTCTATTATATCCTATATAGTGAACATCTACAACTGTTTAAATCAGTCATTTATTTTCTCTCTGGCTTACAGTATATCAAAACATTTGGATGTAGTAGAAAATGGTTAAAACCCCTAACCCCTGTGTCCCAATCAAGAGATTTCCCCTTGCTTCCTATACTGTAGACACAATAGGAAGAGAGGGGAAATCTCTGCAACGTGAGTGGAAATACCCCCCTGGCCAATTGTCACTGGAACACAAGTCCCCACTGGAAGGATGAACTGGAGTCCATTCATTCTAGGGGTCACATAACATAAATCCTGATGTTTAGGTATTTGAACCCCCCAAAACACATTGGCAAGCTTATTTCACAAATGATTTAATAAAGAACTGGGGTAGCGCCCTTACTGCTTCTCACATATTCAGCAACGAAAAGCCAATATAGGGGTTCTAATGCTACCATACTGTATCCAACATGTAAAAAAAAAAAAAGCCTTAAGATGCATTTTAATGGAATTAGAAGGTTTTCTGGCACCTTTTGTAAAGGCTGAATTTTAAGTCTGCAGAGCGGCCCTGGAGGCAGCCGTGCTCTCACAAAGGTTGCCAATCCTAGCTGAACTTTGTTACAAACAAAAACAGGTTGAATGGTGTATTAATGATAACAGAGCTGAATGATTGTGCTGCCTGGAGTTCAGCTTTAGGTGCTGACGCGTAAAGAATGTTCATTTCTTACCCTGGCTGCCCCTTCTTTGTTACAGATCAAGCCTTGCTATTACCTCCCCTGCTTCATTACATCCAAGAGTGAGTGCCTGTGGACAGATCTGCTGTCAAATTTCGGCTACCCAGGCTACCAGTCCAAAAACTACGCCTGCATCAAGCAGAAGGAGGGTTACTGCAGTTGGTACAGAGGATGGACTCCACCAGACAAAACCGTGATCAACACCACGGACCCCTGAGCCCACAAACTGTAATGGACATAAAACAAAAACCTGAACGTATAAGCAGCAATGAAATTAGTGCCTGATTTCTTGCTAAAAATTAGCACTTGGAACACTTAAGTCTTTGCCATCATACTGAAAGTATATTTTTTAATCACTCTTCTTTTATTTTCAATCACCCATTTAAGCCAGACGTTTTGCAGGGTTCTCTGGGAAAGTCTTGCTCTGTTTTTGTTTTGTTTTTTCTTTCTTTCTATGAAATGAAACGCTTCCTTCGGCCACCCGACATGGGCCGTCCTTTGCGTTGCGAAACAGTGCCGTGCATTTGTTTCTTTTCTATTGCAGCTGCAGCCTCCTGCCACAAGAGGCGCTGTGTCCTAAAAGTTCATAGCAGACACTCTAGGCAAAAGACTTTATGGTTAAGTAGAGAAAATTGTGACAATAAATTGCAACGGTTTTAAAGGAGTTTCGGAAATAACTAAAAAGAAAAAAAAAGTTTGGGAAATGTTGGACCAGGTGACCCTCAAATTCTGTAAAATGAAATCGGCAAGACCTACAAAGCTTTCTTGAGAATTAGGAGAGTTGTTATTGTCATTGCACTAAATGCTTACCTTTCAGACCCTGCTATATACATTGCCAGTGTTACTTTTTTTTTACTAAATGGAATCTTGGCATAATGCCTTGCAGGTCAAAGGCAGAACCGGCCAAAAAAAAAATAAGCTACTACAGCCTACCGCGTGACTGATCGCAGGGCTGTAAAAATATGATGCAGCTCCATCTTGTGGCCTAGAGTATTATGCAATACCTGGACTTCCTGTTAACATGGACCTATACTCGAAGGTTGACCTAAATCTATGCAACCAGTCTTGCTCTGGTGGATAAATAAAAAGTAACAGGCTGAAAGACTTGTCTTTTGTTAACACACTGCTCTGCCAAGGCGTTTGATCACATGATCGCTGCTTAAGAGGAGGACCAGTCATTCTGAACTCTGATGTTCTCCCTTGTCAGAGTTGACATGACCAAATGCCTAGGCTTTTGGTCACACGGCCAGCACAGGAGGAACTTTGCAGAAGCATTTTTCTCCAGGAGAAGTATTTTAGCCCCTCTATACTACCCTTTATTTATCAATCCCAGTGAGACTGTCCACAAAGCTTTAGGTCAACACTCGAGCATGGGTGCACTTTAAAGGAAAACTGTCATAAAGCAAAGCACCTGTGTGAAAAGGCTGTGATAAAAGCAGTCATTGCTCTTCTCATGTACCACGTAATGGTCCTCCTGAGGCAGTGAAGCTGAACACAGTCACTGGACTGTTGCCTTTGAGCCTGGTATGTAGGCCATGCCTTAGGGAATAGCTGCTTCCATCAGAACCTTCTCAACGTTAGTTTCTTCATGACAGAGGCCTTTTAAGGGCTCCAGAAAGTATTTTATTTTTCTGTGAAATATCTTTATACTGGAGGTCTTGTGTATGATGACGCTACCATCCAATAATCTTGCTCTGATTATTGGGCAGAACCATTTTTGGAGGTGGGGAGGTTGCTACCAGTCACAGAGCCATAAAGGTGGTCAATGAAAGGTCCAGTAAAGAAGGTTCTTTTAATTTGGGTAGACACCAGAGGTTGGAATACCTTTTTCAGTGACTCCATTTTCCAAGGCCAATGTTAGGGTGTCACCTTCTGTTTAATCTGCATAACCGATCCATGTGAGGGGAGGGACACAGCTCTTGGCTACTGGAGCTTCTGGTGTGAAGATCTCACTGCTGGAGTCCCTGATACATAGAAGAAGCCACCACAGGAAAAATAACAAATATTTATTTAGGTTAGAGCTGACCTTAAGTACCATTACATTTTTGGGTATTCAGAAAATGCTATTGCAAGTGAAAACTTGCCTTTAATAGCATAATTTTGGGATATAAACACACACCAGTAACATAACCTAAAAATATTATATCAGGATTCACAGCTCAGTTTTGGCTGCGGTGTACAGACAAGTTCTGAAGTGTGAAAAACTAAACACACCTTTTGGAATGTTAAAATTCAATGTGGCGATCCCTGTAGTGGAGTCATTGTGAAACTCTCTGCTCCCATCTAGTGGCAAGGATGTGAGTTTGTAGGTCTCACCATCCACCCATGGGACACCCTAGGTCACATTGCAGGATAACCTCACATGAGTAACAAAAAAAGCCAAAATTACTTCCAACGTTCAAAGTGGTTCTACAGCTTTTACAGAAAATAGCATTTCAAGGTGCCTAAGTGGACAACCCCATAGGGCACCTACATATGCTATATCTCCGAAGAGGCAGAGCTATCAGATTCTAACTGAATACAAAATATTCTTTTGTTTTTCCTCAACGTCAAATACCTGCCCTCGGATCATGCTGTCTCCAGGTTCTTAAGTGGGCATAACAATATTCAATAATAGAGCCTAGTAGTGGTCTACATTCCTCTTGTTTATGGGGCTCTGTTATCTGATACTGTTTTGTACCCTCAAGAACGTGGACACAGCTTGTGTGATGTCAGGCACTGCACTGGGCAGCAACTGTCATTTGTAACTCCCAGCACCAGAGTCGTTTTCAGAGGAACTGAAGAAAAAAAAAACTAAATAAGGGGCCACATATAGTACAGTTGTACAAAATTACCTTTTTTTAAAAATATTATTTTACTCATGTGAGATTACCCTATAAATTGACACTCACTAGGTGATACCTTGACCCCCAGCATAGGGGAATAAGTGAAATTGTATCTTTTTTTGGGTTGCTCTTGACTGGATATTTGAATAGAAAACCTGACATGTAGATCTCTAATATAAAGTCATTTTTTTTTATCGGTTCTGACGAAATGGGTGACTAAAGTATATGTTTTACTGAGATTGTGTGACTTAACATATTTTCTGTTTATATATATATTTTTTTCTCTTATTTATCATTTGTAGAGGAAATGTTTTTAATATATCTTCACTCCATTCCAAGTAGGGAGTTGTAGTTTTTTTTGTATGCTATTTACAGGTTTGCTACAATTATATCACAGATAAGGAATATTTTATATCGATATGCTTTTATATTTGCAGAGAATACTCTTTGACTACGGTGTGCCCCCCCTTTTGTAGTTATATACTTAGAAACAAGTGCTTTTAAATGAGGCTGCTTATTTTAGCTTACAATGGAAATCTGTAAAACAGTATAGCATCCATAGCCGACTACTGGACAGCCAGAACGGTGATTGGAATTCTGTTTATAGAACTATGCACTGAATAGAAATCGATTAGTGTGACAATATAGTGATGATGCACCAGAGCAAGTTTAGGCCACCTGTGGAGCCGTATCAGTTGAGGATCTTTAAAATGCTGAACTCTTGTTTTAGAAACAGGTTAAGAACTGCAAGCCTAAGTCTTTAATGGTATCTGCAGGATTGTGTCAAGTTCAATGGACTTTACAGGATGTCTTTTGCCATTACTACGACAAAAAGCACAGCAGGTGCCAGGTTTTACACTTTGGTGACATTGTTGGTTAATAGACCATATACTTAAGCTGGCCATACACTGGTATATATATTTTGTAAACCTGCGAGCTGAATGATAAAAAAATATAACAGATTTCTCCATCCATGCTAAACGGCACGGATGGATGAATCTCCTGCTGGGCTGTTGTATTCAGACAGCGGCCCGTGTACCGCTGTCAGAATACCCAGTGATGGCAGCTGATTGGGTGCCATCACTGTTCAACCTGGATGTTCTGCCCATGTATTGATTAAATATGTCTGCTTTTAAGGACACAACTTAATAAAAAAAAAAAAAAAAAGCTTTTAAAGCATTATCATGCATTGACCAGATTAAATAAAGTTTCAGTTTCAAAAGAGCCCATCACCAGGCATACAAATAGCTTTCCAATCCTTGTGGATACCAGTGCTCATTGGCTTCTTGTATTGTGGTCAATCGGACCTCATTAGGTGAATTTATAATCATATTGTTCTATTTTTGATAAAGCGGTCCTTTATTTAATTCACAGTCCATAGTCATAGGGGTCTATTCACAAAAGGGTGAAGAGTTTGGAGAAGGCAGGAGAAGTGAACAATCTAGGACAACATAGCTGATCTGGAAAGTGAGCTGAATTGGAGAATTTCTCCAAATCAGCTTTTTTGGGCCAGATTGTTAATTTCTCCTGCCTTCTCCAAACCCTTTACCTTTTGTGAATAGACCCCTATTATTCTTTTGTTGACAAGCCTAATGCTGGCCATACACGTATCTGTCCGATTGTTCTAAGAATAAGTCAATTTGACTCTTTTTCACTACTTTTTCCATCTCGAGAGACCGGCATTGAATCGCAAATGGAGACCATTAACTGCGAATGGGAAACTGCAATCATCCGGGCAAACGATTGCTCAAACGATTTTTATCCTGGCATCATTGTAAACATTTCTGGCTAGAAGTGCAATCCGGTCTAAACAAATAATCAAAGCACAAAGTGATAATTTTTTTTAAACTTCCAAAGTTTTGGCATCTATCGCGAATAAATGAATGAAAGGGTTGATCGGATGGGTTGTATGGCCAGCATTGGAAGGGAACCACAGTAACAGGCAAAAAGGATTAGCACCTAACCATTAGACATTGTTTTTATCAGGCACGCAACTGGGATTGGAGGGACCGAGGAATAGATCTATATGATAAACACCGGTCATGAGAATTTTGAACTTGCTCGCTCCTACAGTCTATTCAGTGATCTTTCTTGGAATGTTGAGATGCATTGCAAACTTTTTCCAGCTTTTGTATCTTTCTTATAGATTATCCTGTACATACTTGTAAAAAGTGTATCAAAACCAATGATTACTTTGAATCTTGCACCGAAGTGGCCAAACATTTGTGAAAAATAAAAAAGTGCAGGGTGTCCCAGAATCAAGTGTCTCTTTATTGCTGTTATAGCCTGGCCTACCTACACATGTCAATGCTACAGAATTTAGCCATGACTCCGTACTAATGTCATTTCCCACCAGGGACACACTAGATCAGAGTGCAGGGGGGCACTTGCTTCCCCCCGGGCCAGTACAAATATAAGATATGCTGGGCTGGTGGCACTGACCAGAAATATTTAGATCTCACTCAGAACAAGGACTGTAGTTAGTGACATGCCTCTATTGCAGTCTGTTTGGTGATCATTGTCCCCAAGACAGAAAGTGAATGGGAATGCGAAATTTTAGAGTTGTCATGAGTTCAACAGGGGGAAGAGAAACTTTACAATGGGGACAAATGCTGTACCGACGATTAAGATGGCATAGTTTCCATATTTTTAGGGAGACATTCTCACTTCTTGTTGCATCTCCAAGACAGGAAGTAGAGAGAGAGCACTCCCCAGCAGGACATGGATAACCTGATAGGAGTCTCAATCTTCCCTGTTCTATCCACAGCCCCCCCCCAAAAAAAAATGTTTTAGCTATAGATACACTTGACTTTATGCAGTGTTGCATCACACAGCAGTGACAGCAGTGTTGCATCACACTTTGACCCACAGCAAACTGCCACAAAAGGGCCAGTTGGTTACCTTTTTGCCATAGATTCCAATTTTTCCCCCGATTCTCTTTCTTCTTTAAAAAAAACTGAATGTAGTTGAAGGACTTGGGGAGGCAGGAATCATACTGTTATTGATCCACTTGTTTAGACTGCTGTATAAAAGAGCTCTTACAATCTAAGCATATTTAAACACTAAACTCAGGAGTTAAATCTTAATGTATTCAAGTATAAGAACTATTAACAAAAATTTATCTTATTTGT